GGGGCTGCGATAAGGTGAAATAAGGCTCCCTCTGCGAAATGGTATTTGGTTAATCCCCCCTATACTACTGTGTTCGAAAGCAATGAGATCTATGAGGAGATTCCCTCAGGTTCAGATTGCTTTGCCTGAAATTTTAGCAAGAATATCTAGCAAAGATGGTGGATCATGTGTACTAAAGGCATCCAAGTCGAGTGTTAATCGATAACCTCAATCAACACTCAATCGATACCCAATCGACACTCCATCAACACTTCGGTCGACTATTGACCAACTGTTGATCAAGTGTCAAATGAGTGTCGACCAAGTATGGATCAGGACCTCAGTTGAGTACAGATCAAGATGTCATTTAAGGGTATCAATCGACACTCCACCATGGATATCTTTAGTATACATGATTCAAGATGGTTACAAGACAGCGTATTTACCTGGTTGGTCACGGTCTGAATGTTTTTGGTTTCCACTGTCCACCCAGAGTTGTCCACTCATGCCCATCCAGTTTTTCACCATATGTCCAATAAAGCCCACTGTACATTCATGTTTGTCCACTGTCCATCTAGGTGTATCCAATGTCCCATCCTGGTTTGTCCACTGTGTTTCCAAGCTTGTTCGTTACTGACTATGCAATATAAGTTACATGTAAGATAAGAGGAGAGGAGAGGAGAGGAGATTAAGCCTTTATTTTGGCTTAACACATAATTATGGTGGACATTAACAAACAAACCTGTGGCCCTCACTTAGAGGGCCTCTTTATTGAGACATAAAGAAACAGTTCTCACTAGTGGTGAAATTCTCAACAACTCAGTCCAATGATTATTATTAAAAAAAAAACAATGTTAGTATTATGTACAAGGAGAAACAGTTGTACCGGTAATTTACAGTACATTAATTTTTTTTTTCTACCAGTTAAACCTGGTTGCATTTACCTGGTTGGTCAAGGTATGAATTTTCTTGGTTTTCCACTTTCCATCCAGAGTTGTTGAGTTGAGTCCATCTAGTTTTTCCTCCATGAGACCAATACTGTCAACTGTGCATTCAAGTTTGTCTACTGTCCATCTAGGTGTATCCAATGTCCCATCTTCGTTTGTCCACTGTCTGTTCAATCTTGTTCATTGCTGACTAAAAAATTGAGAAATTCAAAAAGATTCTTGTTGATGGTGAAATTATCAAGAACTCAGTCCAATGACTATTGTCAGAAAAAAACATTGATTGTAACGACATAATTTATATTTTTCTAATAGATAAACCCAACCAAGGTGTGTGCCAAGCCATCCCCAGTAGATAGAATACCACCCCATGGCCAGCAAATCCCTGTAAACTAGCCACGAGACCTCATTCCAGGCACGATTGGATGACAAATGTAGAGGATGGGATGGGATAGGGAACACTTGAAACAACTGATAAAAAAAACCCTTCAAGACTACTTAACAACTGCTACAAAGCCGCTAGAAAAATGGTTTGAGAACTTGAAGATCTAGCTGTGAAGAAGCTGCAACACTCCATGTGAGCTTGCATTTGTGAGTTTGACAGCCCACTGGAAGAGCCTGCTAAGCATGTGCCTGTTAAAATGTACTTTGTGGCTGCTATAAAAATTGAATCATTAAGTGCGCTTTATAGTGCTTTTGAAAATGGTTCCATAAAAAGTAATGAGCAGGATTGAATGTAGGCTCTAGAAACACTAATAATTATAACACACAAAATTATTCTTTTTAGTTTTTAACAACAGCTTTTGAAAAACTGCAAAATTGATGAAACATGAAAATTTTTTAAGGAAAGCAAAAGTCATGTGCAAGAGGATTCAGGACAGACTCAATGAAAGTTACAAATTAATGGAAATTTCAGAATTAAGGCAGTTAAAAGAAAAGGCTGAATATTTGGACTTGATTGAAAATGCATCGACCAAAATCAAACAAGAAGCTTGACACTTAGAACTGCACTAAAGAACGAAACATTTGAAAATAAGTCAATGATAGTTGTTTGCTCCAGGCCACGAGGTTAATTAACACAACAGAAATAAACTGAGCACCATGTCTGCAATACATGTGAGTGCACTGTAGCAAACAAGCATTCTAAGCTCCTGGACATAGAATAAAATTTTTCAAGGTACTGTTAAATGACTCCTGATCTCTAACTAACTGACTGCCCAAAATATAGTTTTTCCTAAGCAGATACATGTGCATGTACATGTAGGAAGTGTTTCACAATCCTCAGTAAGGATAGAGTGAAAGTCTAACTTCTTAAACTAATTCCAAATCATTTCTGCAATTCTAAAACACTTCCTAGAAAGGGCAAAAATGTTCAATTGCAGACAGAACAATAAATTTTTAAATTCCAAATAGACACTATAGCTACAAATATAAGTATAATAAAAACTTCCTTTCAGCAACTTTATGTGTTTAAAGCGAGATTAAGAAAGTTTTAATTTATTGAGACAAAGCTTCGTAAGAAGATAAATGGTTTTTCAGCAGACTTATGGATGATTTCACTTGCCCCAGTCTGTGGTATTTAATGCTTTCAGTGTTTTGGGTACCCAAAACACTAAGGATTTCGGTACGCGGGTACCCAAAACACGAGGATACCCAAATCACTGTTGCAGCGATACTTTACGTGAAACACCTCTGACACTTTCATAACTACAATTTAACCGAATTAAATCTTAAACTTATCTAACGGAAAGAATGAGAAGATGCCTAGGTTTAAAAACCACTATTCGTAAATAACAGCTTTTGAGTTCAAGCTTAAGCTTACCTTAGCAGTTTTACATTTCATACCCGGGGTTGTTGTTACAACTTTCGCAGTAACTGCGAAAGTCTGTCAACGTGGTCCAAATTTTATGTGTTTTGCAGCCTGCTGCAGGCACAAATCTTGCATTAAAGTACAAATACACATCAGACAATACCTTTGGAAAGGCTAAACACACCAAAGGCAGTCTCTTCATGGATTGTTTAGCGTAGGAATAAGATTTTCACTTCCGCAGCCATGTTGGGTTTCTCTTTCGTTCCCAGTCTCTCCTGCGTCTATGGTTAGCCAAATGCACCTTCATATTCAGCAACTTATATTTATGTTCAACAACATATATTTATATTAAACATTTTTTATTTATATTCAACAATACGCATTTTCTTTCAACTTCAGCCTGGTTCTGAAATTTGGATTCTCACGTTTATCTAAGGTCTGTTAACAAGGTTCGGCAACTTTACTGCATTAAAAGCCGTAAGCGCATCAGCTATCCGCACAATTACGAAGTTATTAACGGTCCACAAGCTTTGAGTCGAGTACTTCTTTGCAAACAGAGGGCATCTTTTTATGATACTAATAAGTGAGAGTTCTTGTGGTAGACAAAATGTATCTTTGAAAATTGTGATCCACAGCAGGGTTTACTTTATCGCCGCATACGTATCATTGTAAACAAAGCAGGAATTTCGCTTCTCTTTTACACGTATCTCCCAACTGCAATATTTCACGGCCGATGGATTACTTTGAGTTCTTTAACTCATTCTTATGTCTATGATCTTCATTTAATAGTATCCAAGTTCAAAACAATTCGTTAAAACGTCACTAGTTTACACTCCTTTCGAAGGTTTATTAAACAGAATT